CCGCTATGTTGTCATGTTTTACCGCTATGTTGTCATGTTTTACCGCTGTGTTATGTCATGTATTACCGTTATGTCATGTATTACCGCTGTGTTATGTCATGCGTTACCGTTATGTGACTGCTTGCTCCCATTGCCCCTCCTTTCGTGCTGCACTGAGATTGGGCTGGAAAAGAAACAAACAAAAGGACCGACCTCGCAAAAAGTCACATAAGGGGGGTGTTTGTTTATTCATTTATTTTTTCTTCTCTGTTTTTTTTTGGGGGGGGATGTTCTTAAGGTTTTTCCTTGTATTTATTTTATTTTATTTTTTTATGAGGCTTTGGGATCAGTGGTGCATGGTCCCGCAGGGTCCCCCCCACTCTGAGCCCTTTGCAGGAGGTTGGGGTCCAATCCTGGCTGCGTGCAGTGATTTCAGGTTCCTTATTCCAACTTCCATGCTGTCAGATACAGCCTTTTCCCTGTTGACAAACACGAGCAGGGCAGCTATTTTAAACTTCTCAACAACTTTGTGCTCTGGCAGAGCTCCATTCTGCTGCACCCTCTTTGCTCCTTGCGAGATTTTCTCATGTGCATTGCTATGTCAGTGCAAGATGCAAAGAAATTTCCCCAGCATGGCACCCCATGGGCTTTTCCCCTTTCCAACCCCGCTGCTGCAGCATGGCAGGGTCCTCTTCTTCCTTCCTTCCTTCCTCTGCAGTACAAACTCCAAGGAGATGAACAGCTATATATGGAGGAGTCACCTTTGTTGTGTCTTTTTTTTTTTTTTAAACCATATTTATTTCCTGGAATGCTGTTTTCCTCTTTATTTTGGAAGGGAGGGAACTGGGAACCTAAAGCAGGGTTTCCCTTCCTGCCTGTAAAGAAGTCTTTCAGCAGTGATTTCATTAGGTGGGAAGGATGGCACTGGGAATGAAATGATCACTTGAGAGCCCGATATCCTGGGAACTGCTCTGGGAAATGGTGATATGGGACTTGTAGGAAGGAGCACAAGTCCATGGGTTTGTGGTTTAAAAGTAATGCCACTTCTGTGATGATGCTGATATTGGATGCTGCTGTCATCTTTATTTGCACTTCTATATTTATGTAGATGTGTTGGGATCGATGCATTGTTATTATTGATTAGTGTGCTGGCATCCAAGCTACTCAAGACATAATTGAAGAAGAATTTAAACTGAGATGGGGAGATTTAGGTTAGATATTAGGAGGAAGCTCTTCACACAGAAGGTGGTGACACACTGGAACAGGCTGCCCAAGGAGGCTGTGGATGCCCCATCCCTGGAGGCATTCAAGGCCAGGCTGGATGTGGCTCTGGGCAGCCTGGTCTGGTGGTTGGCAACCCTGCACATAGCAGGGGGTTGGAACTGGATGATCACTGTGGTCCTTTTCAACCCAGGCCATTCTGTCATTCTGTGATAAGTAGTGCAGAGATCTACGCTGTAAGATGAAGTTTTGCTTTGCGGCAGCAGACACAGAAATGGACCAAAAGCTGCAAATCGCTCAGGAGCTCAATGATTGTGGGGCAAACACAAAGCTGGGCTGAGGATTTCCTTCCTTTTGAGTAATCGGAGTCAAATGGTTTCAAACTGAAAGAAGGGAAGTTTAAATTGGATATAAGGAAAAAAGTTTTTTACAGTAAGGATGATGAAGCATTGGCACAGATTGCCCAGAGAGGTGGTGGATATCCCAACACTGGAAACACTCAGGGTCAGGCTGGAGGGGGCTCTCAGCACCGGATCGAGCTGTAGGTGTCCCTGTTCATTGCAGGGCAGTTGGACTCAATGGCCATTAAAGGTCCCTTCAACTCAAATAATTCTATGGATTTCCTATCCAGGAATTGAGTTCTGGGGAGGAAATAAGTTTCTGGAGGAGGAAGTGATGGAGAAGGGCTCTGTGCCAGAGGCTGAGCTTCACCACTGGGCATGGGCAGGGCAGGGTGAGGGTTGTGGAGCTTTCCTCTGTTATGCTCCCCTTCTCCCCAGCCCCGCAAAATGTAGAATCAAAGAATTGTAGAGGTTGGAAACTCTGGAGATCATTTGGTCCAAACAAGAAATCATAACAGCTGGGGATTGAATAAATTCACTAATTCTTAAAACATTTATTTCTTTTTTGTTCTAGAGCAGGACCAACAGTATGAGCGCAAGCCTCAGCAAGGACTCAGCAAGGACTGAGAAATGTGGCAGAAGCTAATTCCTGCAATTTGCCATCAGCTCCCAGGCAATAGGACAGCTAAAGATTCATGGCAGTAGTGTGACCAGCATGGCAGGAGCGTGTGGGGAGGGCATACCCAGCAATGCTGAGGCTGTTGAAATGAGGAGGCTTGCATGAATGCTTGCAGAGCTTGAGAACGGGGGGTTCAGTAGACAATAAAATGACAAGGTAGATTTCCAGTGCTAAAACCATCCGTGTGTGTAGACAGAGGTTTGGGCAGAGATGTGTTCTGCAGCCCAAGCTGGGCTGGTGCTGAGTGTTACATGACCTAGGGCAGTGTTTTGATTCACTCTTCAGCTCCTGTGATTTCATTTTGCAGCAAGTCACTTATCCTTCCCTCCCATCGATTCTGTCAGTAGCTGACTAACTCCTCATTTTGTTTTTAATGGCTCTCTTTCAGTGTGAAACAGCTGTTCTGTCATGTTTGTCATGCGGTCCTGATGGCTTATGGTCATGAATTTATATGGAGAGAGTTGGGTCAAATATTTCTCGGGTGCTAATATGTTGAATTAATTAGGGCAGAACAGGACTTGAACATGTCCCTTGTCAGTACTTAAACAGAATCTGCACCACCTGAAAATATGTCACTGTTACAGTAGTTTTATAACTAATCTGTGCTACTAAGCATTGGCTCTGAATGTAGGACAAAGGCAAGGTATTAGTGAGATTTGTGTTGTGGTGTTATTTGATTTCACCTTATGTAGACAAAAATGAGTAGAGGGCTTGTTGCGTTGGGCTCTGGAGGGATGTTGAGGCTGCAGACAGCTTGAGAGCTAATTGCTGTTTGTCACCTGACCTGGAGTCACTGCTCTTCCACTTCTGTCTGTGCACAGAGGTGTGCTCTTCCCCAATGTACTTCAGGCAAAATTTAAGCCACCTCTTTAAACTAACCTAGCTATGACTTTCCTGGGATAACTAGGGAGCACTTTTACAAACAGAGGAAGAAAACTGTTAGTAAGATTTTACACTCCTTAGGGTATGTAGGGTGTCACTAAAATGTGCTCATGTCCTATTCGAGATCAGAGGATATCCTGTTTATTTTCTTTTCCTTTTTTTTTTTTTTTTAAGGTGCTACTGAAGTAAGTGTTAACTGTAGCACTTAAGTATCTCAATAGTGTCTTCTTTTAGATTTTGAGATCAGGAAGGACAGAAAAGTTGTGCTGGCATTAAAAGCAGATGAGCTTGCGTGCGGCTTCAACTCTTTGGAAGGGCTTAGATAACAGCAGGATAAGGGGAAATGGTTTGAAGTTGAAAGAGGGAAGATTTAGGTTGGATATCATGGAGAAGTTCTTTACTATGAGAGTGTTGGAACAGGCTGCCCAGAGAGGTTGTGGATGCCCCGTCCCTGGAGGTGTTCAAGGCCAGGTTGGATGGGGCTCTGGGCAGCCTGGTCTGGTACTGAATGTGGAGGTTGGTGGCCCTGCGTGTGGCAGGGGGGTTTGGTGCTTCATGATCCTTGAAGACCCTTCCAACCCAACCCGTTCTATGTTTCTATGAAAAGGCTGTACCCTGCAGAATGAGTTTAAATTAGGATATAAAAGGATGTTACAGGTGCCAAAGTGTGCAGAAGTCAGATGATGCCTGGGTGACCTGGTCCTGCTGCTGGATGCAGGAAGGAAACATGATGCAGGGTCCCAACAGCTCAACCCATGTCTGCACTGGGCTGCTCCTCATCTGCCAAGAAGTCACAGGGAACTAAATTGTGCTGTTTGATTGTGTGTGCATCGATAGGGAAGGGGCTGCTAAAGATGTTGGACTAAAAGAATGACGTGTCTGATGTGGAAGTCATGTTCTGCCCTGTGCTGGGTGAATCTGAAGGCACAGGGACTTGTCAAGCCCTCTGGTCTTTCTAGCAGTCACAGAATCATAGAATGGCCTGTGTTGAAAAGGACCACAATGCTCACCCAGTTCCAATACCCGGCTGTGTGCAGGGTCACCAACCAGCAGACCAGGCTGCCCAGAGCCACATCCAGCCTGGCCTTGAATGCCTCCAGGCATGGGGCATCCACAGCCTCCTTGGGCAACCTGTTCCAGCGTGTCACCATCCTCTGTGAGAAAAACTTCCTCCTAATATCTAACTTAAACCTTCCCTGTCTCAGTTTAAAACCATTCCCCCCTTGTCCTATCGCTATCCACCCTCGTAAACAGTCATTGCCACTCCTGGTAGGAATGGTTTTACACTCCCTTCAAGTATTGGAAGGCCACAATGAGGTCTCCCCAGAGCCTTCTCTTTTCCAAGCTGAAGCAGCCCAGTTGCCTCAACCTTTCCTGATAGAAGAGGTGCTCCAGCCCTCTGATCATCTCAGTGCCCTCCTCTGGACCCGCTCCAAGAGCTC